CAGAAGAGTGTTCTGGGCTCCGCAGATGGCTCTGGGAGGCGTCTTTTCCTGGGGACAGGGGCACAGGACGGTTCATATAATAAACAGCCACTGTGGCTCTCTGCCAGTGGGATCAGGCTGGTGCCAGGCTCTGAGCCATGTCCCTGTGACCACGTGGTCTTGTGGCTCTCTGGGGGCCTGTGGGGCAGTGTACCAAGGGGTTGCGTGTCTGCCAGCTTGGGTCACCTGAGCTGCCCCACACTGGGCTGGGAAGGGGTTCGGGCCAGCTGTGTGGTGAGCTCTTCGGGAGTCATGCCCTCCTCCCAATATGTCCTGGACCACCAGGGATGAGGCGGGATGGCAGAAACAAGGCCCTGCCCCCCGTGCTGCCCAGCGGGGCTGCCAGCGTCCTTCCAAGGGAGCCCGCCTGCTGGGGAGGCAGTGGAGGGCAGGAACTTGGGCCACCATTGCTGCGCCCATGACTGGAGGTTTTGTCAAGTGGAGATGGGAAGCCGCGGCTACTCGGTGCTGGTGCCTGTTGCCGTTAGCCACCCATAGGATGAGCTCGGCCTTGGCACCGTGGGCACAGCTGCGGGACGGCACAGGTGCCTGGACGTCTCCTCTGGCAGTGGCGGTTGTGGCCCAGCTGAGCCTGTGGCCTGTTGCCTCACTGCGCTCCCCCAAGTTTCCCCATCTGTAAAGTGAGGGTGTGTGCTGTTGTGGTCCTGAAGGGGTGCTGGGGTCCCCACCCAGCATGCTTGGGAACGTGTAAGGAGTATTTGGTGCATTAGTTCAGAATTGATTTTGACTCCAAGGCTCCTGGGTCATGCCTGCCCTGTGGGGCTGGAGGGTGGGGGTAGGGCCTCTGCTAATGCTCCCTTTGGGCCACATGACCCTAGAATCATCCTGCCCTTCCCACAGCACCCTCCTTGGCTCCGCCCACTGCTTGTAGTACTCCTGGAACTGTGCACCCCTCCCCGATGTGGCTAGGCCCACCGGACATGCCTCAAGGCCTCACTCCCGCTGCTCGCTTTTCTGGGCGACAGAGGCCCTGGGCCTGTGGTCTTTGCTGCCAGGAACACCTGGGAGGTGGGAATACGGCTAACAGGCCACATGCTGGGAGGGCGGTGAGGCCTTCACACGGTGCTGGGTGTGAGCAGGGCGGGGTGGGGTCTGGATCTGCGGAAGCCTGCGCTCGGCCCAGAGCACCGTCTTCGCGGCAGACCTGAGTTCCAGCGCTGCCCCCTTCCTAGAAGGGCGGTTCTTCTGGGAGTCGTGACAAATGGCTGAGGTCTTCATGTCACCGTAAAAGTGGGCCTGGCGTGGGGCAGAGGGATGCTAAGTGGTGGGGAGTGTGGGGCCCAGGTTTGGGGAGGCAGTGGTCCCTCCTGCTAGCCTGGCCCAGCTGTGGAGGGGAGCAGGCCCTCCGATGTGAGCCGGGCCCTGGCTGCACTGCTGTTCCCTGTCCGAGGTGCTGGGAGCTCTCATCGGGGTGATGGGTGGCCCCGCTCCGAGTGGCTGGAGACACCTCCCTGTGCCCCGTGCAGTCAGGGTGGCCGGGGAGAGGAGGCGACGTGTCCTGCTGGAATGGGGGTGTCCGGTTCTCCATCTTGTTCTGTCTGCACACGTGTGCTTTCATTCGAAAGTAACCCCATGGGGCTAGTTTTATTACCCCAATTTTACGAAAGGGGAAGCAGGACCTCTTGTAGGAGACTGACTTTGTTCAGATTTGTTTTTTTTTATGATATGGCAAACATTCTTACTAGTATTTTCCCAAAATGTTCAGATTTTTAAGCTTTTGTTTTTGTCCGTTTTAGTTGAGTAAATACGCAGAAGCACTCTGATCAGGGTCATGCATGCCGAGCATGAACATGTTGCTCCCTGACCCCGCCTGATACGCAGTCCGCATCACCCCAGGGTCTAGTCCTTCAGGCAAGCCGTGAGGAACTCAGTTGGAAAAGCCAAGCGCAGCTGCTCCGCGGGCTGGAGATGCCCCTGAGGCCACAGCCACTGCCCGCATTCCCCCTCCACCTCTCTGCTGGAGACCCCTGTGCTTTTGGTGATGCAGCTTCCCGCATTCCGGGCTGCTGGCCCCGTCCTTGTTGAACTCTGTCCTCTGCGTTTCTGCGAACAGGAGGCTGGGGCCTTGGGGCTCATGGAGGAGACCCTGGGGGAGAGGACCACTCTGGCCTCTGCTGAGAACAGGCTACAGGCGGGTTTCCAAGTGGAAGCAGGGAGGTGGTCAGGAGGGCTGTCAGCGAGCTGCCAGGTGGGGGGAGCTCGGGGGGCCGTGTGGTGTGTGAGGTGCATGGAGGGAGTTTGAGCCCAAAAAGTAAATTCTGGGGATCGATGGGACTAGAGGCGCCGGTCAGAACCTGCCTGCTACTGATGACTAAGATTGGCAAGGAAAGACTGGGGCCTGACCTGCAGCGGCGCATCGGGGGGACTGGGAAAGGGACTGATGGCGGCGGGGAGCGGGCGCGGGCGGCTGGGCGGAGGCCCCTCACCTGGGGGCGCCCGACCTCAGCCCCTCAGCTCGTCTTTTGGGTTGTATTTCTGTCCATAAGCAGTGCCCACTGCTTGAAATTGCCATTTCCCTCTCTCCCCACTGCCTCACACAGACGCGTGCCCCTCCTGTCAGCCGCCCTCGCTGGTGCTCGCTCTTGGCTTTGTTCGTCGATGTGAAGTATTTACTTCATGTCTATGTTTGCGTTCGGAGCTGAGCCATGTGGTAAATTGTGATTTTTTTCTTTTCTGCACAACTTTGTTTTCCTTGGAGTTACTGCCTTCTTTTCTAATTCGCTCTGTTTTCTGTGTGTGGACGCTAAGTCCGGAGTGCTCCTCTGGGCCATCTAAGTCCCTTCTCGGTGGGCTGGGTCGCTGATTCCTTGGGGGTGTCTCTCCTGGAGACGTCCGCCCTCCTTGAGGCCCCTAACCCCCCACACACATGCAGACACGCTAGCGGATACCATACATTCTTTTGGGGAAAGCACAGAATGCAGGTGGAGAATGAAGCCATGTGGATGCTGGGCCCTGGTTCAGGAAGTGGGTTCACCCTCCACCGCTCCTGCAGGGCTGCGTGGTCACAGCCAGTGTTTATTGGCTGAGCAAGTCCAGCCCCTGCCAAGCCTCCACGTCCGTGCGACTCCACCAGCCTGCTCCAGCTCCCTTGGGAACAGGGACAGGGGTGAGGGAGGCCAAGGGCAGAGGGAGTCAGGACGGGGAGGGCTGTCAGGAGGCCCTAGGAGAGCAGCTCCCCCCACGGCAGTGACCAGCCCTGAGCTCAGGTGGCATGAAGGAGAGCCTGTGCCCTCCGAATACCAGCTCCTGTCCGCAGTCTCCTGGGGATCCCATCAAGATCTGGCAGGGTCCCTCTGGGCAGGGGCTTGGAGGGGAGTCAGGCTGGGGCCTGGGAAGCCTAGGACAAGAGGTGGTCTGCAGCCTCAAGGGCAGGGGCCTCAGGCTGCCAGCTGTACAGCTGGCATTGCCCAAGGGCCCAGCAGAGGTCCAGCTGCTGCACTGGCTCCCAGCCCTGCAGCCTCCACCGATCACAGTGACACTGGCACCCCACCTGGGCCACAGAAGAGCCCAATCTCCCCAAACTATGTGGCCAGGAGAGCTGTGCTGCTGTCTCTCTTGAACCAGATCCACTTCTGGAGATCTGTTTCTCCCACTTGAACCTGCTTTGTGGCCTGAGATTGGCAGGGATGAGGGAGTCCGCAGAGGACATCCGGTTCTGCATGGCCCGGAGGCCTCTACTGGGCCTGAGTCTGGCTCCGGCTGAGGCTCTGGGGGAGCCAGTGTTTGGGGCTGAAAGGGGCATGATGCCAGCTGCCTCCCTTGGCCATCTCTCCCTGCCCATCAGGGCTGTGGTGGACATGGGTGCGTGGGGGTGCAGGTCCCCTCTGGAGAGCCCCAGTGCCTCGCAGGTAATTGTATTTACTTTTCCTGAGAGGCCTCCTGTCCTCTCATTTGCTCCAGTTAGCCACGCTCTGCCTAAGCAGCCCCAGCCCACGTGGGCAGCCCACCTCCTGCCCCAGGGCTCAGGGAAGCCCTCCCTCCAGCTCCTCAGGCCAGGGACACCCAGCTGGCTGGTCAGGCTAGTGCCCTCAGCTCCTCTGGCTCCTGCCCCCTTTGACGGCCCCGTTTCCCACGTACCCTTCCACGCATCACGCCGCCACTGCAGGGCGTGCTCGAGAGGTGGCCACAGCCCCATGCAGCTCCGGCTCCCGTACTTGCTCCCGCCTTCTGGGTCAGACATCCTGCCTCACGCAGCAGCCTGGACCTCAGGGTCCGCCCATCCCAGCAGGGTGCTCGGCTTCGCTCTTGCGAGCCAAGCACTCTCTACCAAAAGGTGGTGATGGCAGCGTCTTTGCCCAGCACAGCTGCACGCCGCACGCGAGGGCTGGGCCGGGCCCCTCTGCTGGCGGCTGGGCCTGGCATATGTGTGGCACCGAGAGCTGTGCTGCTGTCTCTCTCGAACCAGATCCACTTCTGGAGATCGGTTTCTCCCACTTCAACCTGCTTTGTGGCCTGAGATTGGCGGGGATGAGGGAGTCCGCAGAGGACATCCGGTTCTGCATGGCCCGGGAGGCCTCTACTGGGCCTGAGTCTGGCTCCGGCTGAGGCTCTGGGGGAGCCAGTGTTTGGGGCTGAAAGGGGCATGATGCCAGCTGCCCCCCTTGGCCATCTCCCCCAGCTTTCCACATTCCTCTACTGATGAATGGTGACCTTCGGGGGTTGGCAGCCAAAACTAATGGGGGCCTGTCCACCCTGGCTAAGGGTGGGGGTGAGTCCTACCTAACTGGGACGGGAGGCGGCCAGAAACTTCTCTGGGGGCAGGGGGAGGAGCACCGCCAGCCCTATCTCACACTTCGGGACCCCTCAGGGGTTCCAGCTCATTCATTTGTAAAATGGGGACTCCCAGAGGGAGCCCACCAACATAAGCTCCCATCCGGAGCTGCTCCCTTCCCACAAGGAGGCCCTGGGCACAGCCCAGCAACCCAGCTATGCGCGGCAGCCACCATCCAGCTCTTTATTGGAGGACACGCAACTCCTCAGCCCTGGGCACGCTGACATGCGGCGGGATGCGCGGGCATGCACTCACACAGCAGCTTCCCCGCCGCCCTGGGCACCGAGTAGGCGTGGGAGGAGAGGCCATGAGGACAGTGGGGCCACTGCCCAGCTCCCCTGGGCTGCCTGGAGGTGCCCTCTCTAGGCCCCCGAGTCTGACCCCAGCAGGGGCTTCAGATGGGGCTCTCAGCCAACACGGGGAGGCTGTCGGCCAAGCGGGTCTCCGAAGAGTGGTCCTGGCTGGCCCTGTTGCTGGCACCCCCAATGGACAGCAGCAGCTTCTCACTGCAGGGGCCACCGGTGGGCTGGGCTGAGGCTGCATGGCTGCCAACAGGGCGCTTCTGCAGCGCTTTGCCCTCGCGCCAGTGGTGCCAGCACCGCAGCAGCTCTGACTGCACCTGGGGGGCAGGTGGGTTGGGCCAGTCCTGGGGCAGGCTGGTGCCACTGACCCACAGCCCCCAACCACTGTGAGCCTGGGCAGAGAGCAAAGTGGGCTCGGCCGCCGTAGGACACCAGGTTCTTTGGTTGCTGGGGACCCCCTTCCCTGTACGCCCCTGAGAACAGGTTGGCCGACCCATCTCAAGAGGCCTGAAGCCCAGTGTTGTGGCCACTCTGCTCAGGGAGCACGGATGGGCATGCAGGGCTCCCACCCCATGCCTGCGCTCCACCCGGACCCTGACCTCGGGGCTGGTCCCAGACCCGCCTCCCACCTACCTCCTTGTTGAGAAAACAGTAGAGGACAGCAACCAGCAGGCCCTGGAGAGAGGAGATGGTCAGGGCAGACCCAAGGGTGAGGGGTGATGGGGGGGACCAGCGGTGCACAGGCGGGGCAGACACCTGGAAGGAGCTAAGGAAGAGGTCGAAAAAGAGCTTGGCGGAGCGCAGCGTGCCCTGGGCGTGCTCATCTGTCACGAAGGCGAACACCACCTCGTGGACCCCCAGCAGAGGTATGAGGGTCAGCGTGGACTTGGCCAGCCTGCAGGGGCAGAGCCTGAGCCAGCGGGCCCAGCACTGCCCCCGGCGTCCTCATCCTGCCCACTCCCTGTCTCCAGGACCCCTGCCCACACCCACCGCAACTTGTAGTCAGTGTAGCGCATCTGGTGGGCTCGCAGCTTGGCCACGAGGATGTGCAGGATGTGAATGAAGATGCAGAAGTTGATCTGCATGTGAAGGGCAAGGCTCAGGGCAGCCCTGGGCCCCATCTGTCCCTCTGGCAGGTGGGCCTGGCAGCCAGCTGGGGCGCGCACAGGATGGGTAGAGGCCCAGGGCGCCGGACAGTATCCTGGCTGAGTGCTGGGGCCTCCCTGTCTGCCCAGGCAGGATGCAGTCGGTCTCCCTGGGCTGCCCCAGGCCAGCGACAAAGGAGAGGCTGGGCCAACCACACTGGCCTCCACGCCCCACCCTACGGGGCCAGCATGTACCCTGTGTCCTCACCAGGATGGCCAGGAAGACCGGGAAGCGCAGGATCCACCAGAAGCCCATGTTGCCATTGCTGGTCCAGCACCTGCAGGCAGGGCGGGCTCATCCCGGCAGCTCCCCAGACCCCTGCCCCGACCCCGCCGGGATCTAAGCAGCGCCTCAGGAGGGGCAGGGCTGTGGCCACAAGCGCCCCCATCCCTGGGCACCAGGTCAGCTCGCCCCCGCCGCCTCTGGCCAGAGGCCAGCACGCCACTCCACACAGTCTGCCGGCCTGTCCAATCGTACTCACTGGATGTTCTCGAACAGACACTTAACCACCGCCCAGGGGACGATGAACAGCATGGGGGCGCCTGTGGGGTGCAGGGGGGCAGCTGTGGTCCTGGGGCCCCAGGCAGCCTGCCCCGCAGCCCCCTAGCCCACTCACCCCAGCCAACGGTCAGGTAGAGGGTGAAGAAGCTCCTCTCCGGGGCAGAGGCGAGGCCCAGCAGGCTGTGCAGGTACATGCCCTCCACCAGGAGCCAGCAGTAGTTGGCCATGACGCCGTATTGCATGAACACCGTGGCCGCCCGGCAGCCGGCCACCGCCTGCCAAAGGAGCAGCGCAAGCTGGGACCAAAGCCACTCGCCACCCCAGGTCTAGGCCGGGAGGCCGGGTCTGGGCGCTCACCCCGTCACTCAGCCAGATGCTCACGCTGAGGTCGTTGCCAATCTTCTGGTTGTAGCGGGTCTTGAGCAGCGCGTCGATGGCCAGGACAGAGCTGGCCTTGAGCACAAAGGACGCAAACAGGTTCGCATGGATGTAGTTTCGGGTGCAGTGCAGCTTGCTGTGGGGACAGCGAGTCAGCCTCTGCCCACCACCCTGCCACCTTGCCCCCCAGCTCTGGGCGGGTGGGTGTACCTGAGGCCCAGCAAGATCACCAGGGCCAGGAGCAGAGCCCCCAGGGACAGGGAGTACCCCACGGTGTACATCACCTGGAAGCTGTTGTACATCTTGGCTACCTCCTTCTGTGAGTTACAGCAGCTGGTCAGGGCTGGGTGGGGCCACTTCCCCTGTCCCCACAGGCCCCCAGCTCCACCCCCACGCGCTGACCTGGACCTTGAGCTCCTCGTCATCCATACGGCACTGGGAGGCATTTCGCCACGGCTGCCCCCGGGGCCCGCGCACCCACTGCCCATCGGGCCCACACCGCTTGAAGACGAAGTGGCGCTGCACTGCGGGGCGGGCTCTGGTCAGCGCCGCACCCTGGTCTGGGTGCCCTCACCAACCTCACATCCCCTCTGTGGGTACCTTTGTGGTGCCAGGGCAGGTACCAGGGGCAGGACATGCTGGCTGTAGTGTTGGGAGGGGTGTCTGGCCAGCAGGAATACTTGTCAAAGGTTCTGTTACAGACCAGCTCTGCATGATGGGGCAAGGTGGGGTACCCCTCAGCAGGGCCTGGCCACACAGGCCCCCTTGCCTTGCCCTGGAAGCCCCTGCTCCCCAGCATGCAACCTGTATGCAGATCCCTCTGAACACCCACTTCCCCTGGACCACTCCCACCCATGTCCCTTTGGGCACCCTGGGTCTACACTGTGCCCCAAACCCGCTGGGGTCTCCCCTCATCCAGCACCTCCCTCTCTGCAGCTGAGCCCCAGTTCTGCTGGCACCCTTCCCAGGTGCAGCACAGCCCTGGGGCTCACAGACCTGCTCCCTCTGCCCAGTCAGGCCCCTCCCTCCCTCAGGTGCTGGCGCCTCACCTCCCAGCGGCTCCCTGCCCACCTCGGTGACTTCCAGACTGGCCCCTGAGTGGTCCAGTGGCCCCGCCCCACCCCGCCCCTCTTGGGTCTGGAGTGGGCAGTGCCCCCTGGGCTGCCTCCCCCCAGTCTGCTGGGCCTGGAGCCCCGAGGGGCGCAGAGCATCCCTGGGCCCAGCAGCTGGGGTGGGTGGGCACTCAGCTCCGGGGCACCTCACCATTTCTTTTGTTCCTGGCTGGCCTTGGAAACGCCACTGGCCTCTTCATGCCTGGAGAGCTCAGTAACTGCAGGGACTGGGGGGGCCGGACTCACCTGTGGGTGGGGGCAGCAGGCTCAGGTTGTGGAGACACTGGTTGCCGTAGAGCTGCCACTTCTCAAACAGGAAGTCCATCACCTGGGCAGCGGGGGCCTGCAGCTGGGACAGTGGCGGCAGACGGTGGGGCCACCGGCAGGTGGGGCTGGCAGGGTGCAGGAACGAGGGGATGGCAGTGCTCACCTGGCAGGCCAGGAGCAGCAGCAGGAGGTGAGGGCCGCGTGGCAGGGCTGGGAGCATGCCTCTGGGCAGCCGCCCCCCCACATCTGGCTGGGGCTGCACAGCTAGCGCAAAGGGGCCTCGTGGGCGCACACTCTGGTTCCCAAGTGTCACAGCAGCAGGGGCTGTGGAGGGTCCCCCAGGAGTGAGGAGAGGCAGCTGGGCTCTGCTGTGACCAGAGGGGTGTCCTGCATCCCTAAAGCCACCCCTCTGAGGCTCCACCCTGTTGATCAGGTGGGAGCTGAGAGGGAGGAGACACCGGAAGTAGTTGCTCTTGGCCAGCGAGGGGGTGGTGGTCGGGCCCGTGCAGGAGGGCTTGCCCAGGGCCTTGGGGGCTGTGCCGTCCCCCCTGCCTGCTGCTGGCTGGCGCTCTGACCGCTCCGCTCCGCCCCCCCACCCCCCGCCACTGCACTTGTGGAGGACACTGTCCTGCCCGGTGACAAAGCTGTGGACATGGAGCACAGCCTCCCTCACTGCCCAGTTCCTTTCGGCATCCGCCATCCTCCCCACCTATTTTTAGCCCCTGGGAAAGTCAACGTGCCAGCCAGGGGGTGCCAGGGCCATCCACCACTGCCACGGTCATCAGGATGGCCCCAGGCCAGCCTCCAGCCTATCCAACTTGTGCTCAGGATGGGGTGTCTAGGTACCCCCCTGGGCCCCACCCAAGTCTCAGGCCTGGCCTCCTGCGTCCCCTGGGGCACAGCATGCAGGTAGTTGGCAGCACGTTACCTTGAGATTAGCTCTGCTGGCTGCCAGGGGTCCGAACACAGGACCCACGCCCTCATGGTGCCTGCACGGGGCCAGGGTCCTGGCTCTGGGCGGGAGCCCGAATCTGGCAGTGGCCCCATGAATCCTCCCTCACTGCATCCAGAACCCATCTTCCACTCACAGTGAGGTCCTCAGGTACAGCAGGGAGCACTTCCCAGGGGGGCTGGCTGCAGGGCCCCTAGGACTGACTCGAGTGAGCCCCTCCAGGGCTGTGACCAGGCCCTCCTCTGGGCTCTCTGGTGAGGAGGGAGCAGCGATGGACTGGTGGACGGACAGATGGGCAACTGGCTAGCTGGAAAAGAGGGCCTGGGAGCAGCCAGGGGAGAGGGGAAGGTACAGGGTACAGACTGGCCAGAGGTGGAGGGTTCCTGCCTCCTCCTATGAGGGATCAGTTCAACCTGGGGTTCCCCTGAGATTCACTCCTCACCCCTAATGGGCCCTTGAGATGCCACCAGGAAGTGTGGGAGCTCAGTGACCAGGCAGCCACCTGGATCACAGCCTACTATGGGGCTTCTAACCCCAACCCTTGGCCTATGGCCAGGCAAGACCCCGTAGTCCCTGATCCCCAGTCCCCAAGCCAGGTGAGGAGACACCCAGGCTTAGGGCTGAGGGTGGAACAGCCACCGTGTGGAGGGCTTTCTTGGCAGAGAATGTGGCAGGAAGGTGGGGAATGAGGGGCAGTTCAGGTGTCCCCAGCCCTGAGGTCACCACTGGGCCCTATCTCCTGATTCTGATCAGACAGCCCCGTCTGCCACTGCCCCTTGCACACCCACGCTACGAGCTGTGCCCAGCTGTTGCACAAGGGGAGGTGGGTATACAGGTTTGGGGGTGCAGGTTGGGCTAGAGGCTCTGGTGGCAGAGATGGGGAGAGTGAAACAGGCTGGCTGGGCAGAGTGGACAGTGAAGATGCAGGAAGGGGACGGGAGGAAGGACAATGACCGAGGAGCTGTGCGACCAGAGACCCTGAGGTCGGGGCTGGGAGAAGGGGGAGCTCTGGGGACATCCCAGTGAGGAGCTGAGGAAGAATGACAGCCCCTTACACAAGCCTAGCTGTGCCTCGACTTCCCTGTTGGAGAGTGGGAGCTCACCTTGCTGACCTCCCGGGCTGTTAAGGTAGCCTAATGAGCTAATAGTGGGGGAAGGACAGGCAGGCCCCCCCTGACTGCCCCTGGTGGGCAACCTGTGTGCCCGCTTGGGGTCAGTCTGGGGACCCCAGAGAGAGGCTGGGCCCAGGATGCAAGGGGAGCAGGAAGGGCTGCCCTGCGCCCCTCTTCTGCTGAGCCTCCCTGACCTTTCTCCATGGCAGCCAGGGCAGAGGTGTATGGGGGTCTCTCCACATACTCTTCTCCCACTCCTGGTCTCGTGGGTGGGAATGGGAATCCTTGAGGACTCACTGCCCACCTCCCCAGCTCATCACCCAGGGACCACGGACTGAGTAAGTACCCCAGCTCAAGGCACTACTAGCCCCAGGGCCTCAGGAAGTCCCACTAATACAAGAGGCTGAGGGTGACCCCCCACCAGGTCTCTGATAGAAACACAAGGGGCGGAAAGGGGCAAGGGGCAAGGAGAGTGCAGGGCTGGAGGGGCTGTGAGCCTCTCCAGGCTGAGGTTCTCGGGCCCCTGCCCTGGGCACCTGGGTGTGAGGTCAGCCCCACAGCAGGGGGTGGCATTGTGGGCGCAGGACACATAATTTCACTTCTCAGCCTCAGTTTCCCCACTTGTAAAGGGGAGATCTCTGCCTCCTCCACCAACAAGTGAATGAGCTTGGCCTTCTGAAGGGAAGGGTGGAACATGGTGCCCAGGGTCCTGCCTGGGGGGACACGAAAACCCCAGGGCAGCCTGTCAGGCATGGGGATAAATATTTGTTGAGTGGATAAGACGATGAGAGATGATGAGGCAACCAGATGTGAGTGAGCCCGGCTCCCGTGGCCACAGCTCCACTCAGACCCGTTTTCCACCTTATTACCCTCCTTGCAATGCACAGAGCTCTGGTGGGGGTGAGGGCGACTGCCAGCACCAGGACCCCACTCCTCCCACACAGTGTCAGCCCAGGAGGGCTCCCTGAGGGCTGGGGGCCGGAAATCCAGGTGGCCTCACCCCAGCGCCCGGCTCACCCCCTCTCCCCTTTCCCAGCCCTGCCCCTCCCCATGGATTTACCCGCCCACCCCCACCCCAGGCCTGGCAGAACACAGCACTCCCGAGGGCTCGCGGCCCAGCCACAACCCACCGATTTCCAGTGGGGATGGCGGAGAGACCCAGACCTGGGGCGGGGGAAGGGGCCTCCGGGGTGGATGCCCCCCGGCGAGGAAAGGCAGCGCGGTCATCCCCAGCTGGCCCTGTGACCCGGATGGGTGGCCTGAGGACTCCCAGCGCCCGGGGTAGGAGGTGTGTGTGGGTGTTTGTGAAACTAGAGCAAGAAGGGAGGTCACGGCCCCAGGGCCGGGCACGCAGGCTATTGACAAGGCCTGATTCCTGCGTCTCCCCCACCCCCGCGGGGCTGGACGGGCCTGGAGGCGGGCCAGGTGCAGCTCCCCCCGCAGCCTTCAGCCCCCAGCACAGAAGGATGCGGGCGCCCCGATGGAAGAGGTCAGTCGGGTCTGGACGGGGGCAGAAACCGACGGCGGCGAAGTGGGAGTGGGGGACGCCAGAGAGGCGGGAGCGGGCAGGGCAGTGACCCGCCCTCGCCGCAGGTCACAGCGACAGGCGTGGGCCTCGTGAAAAGCGGACCAGGCGGGGTGCCGACGCCCTTCGTTCATCCCGGGGAAACCCGGGTAGCTGGCTGTGCCGCTGGGGCGACCTGGGAGCGGGGGTCCGCCGGGCAGGGCGGCAGGGCTGCCGAGACCCCGCGTCCCCGGGGCGCCTCCGCGGTGCTGCGTGTGCGTCCCTGGGGGAGGGCGCTGGGGGCGCCCCCCGCCGTGCTCCCCACTGAGCGGACGGCAGGGGGAAGTGGGGAGAGCCCAGCGCGCCCGACGGTGCGGGACCCGGTGCACCGTCCGAGCTGGAAGGACGAATCGCGGGGGCTGGGGACGGAGGTGTCCGACGGGGGTGCGGACGGAGAACCCGGGGCCCCGAGAAGGCCTGGCCCGTGACCGGGGTCCCCGCCCGCAGATCCCGCGCTCCCCGACTCCGAGGGCCCAGGTCGGTCCCCGAGCGCCCCTCACCCCACCGGCCAGCCAGGTGCTCACCGCGCGCGGCTCCGGCCCGGCTCCCCGCTGTCCTCGGCGCGCTCCGGCCGAGCCCGGCTCTGAGCCCCCGCCCGCGCCCCGCGCCAGCTGCGCGCAAACTTTCCGGCGGCGACACTGGGCGGCGGTGGCGGCGGCGGCGGCGGCGGCGGGGCGGGGGCGGGAACAGCGCGCGGGGGGGCGGGGAACGGCGACCGAGGGTCCCCGCCCCCGCCGCGCCCCGGCCCGCACGCCTCAGGCCCCGAGCTTGCTCTGCAGACCCCTGCCCGGGTGCGCCCCCCTCGGACCCCGGCCTGGCAGGCAGCGGCCGCGACGGGCCTGCAGTGGCCGCGGGTCGGGGCCGAGATGGCTAGGTGGGGAGTTGGGAGGCTGCAACTCGCACCCTCCCTCTGCTTCCGCCACGTGCGGGGGGGTCTCGCCGCGTCTTTCCGTCCTTGAACTGATCCGCTGCAAGGACTGACCCCAACTCACCGCCCCGACCGAAGCCCCCGGGCCGCGCTTCTTCCACCGCACCTCGGAGCAGCCTGGCCTGGGGTGGGGGCCGAGGAGTGTGCCCGCCGGCCCGGCGGGGAAGGCCCTCCGCTGGCTGAGGCTAGGCGGTCCCGGGGTGCCCCGTCAGCCCCGGCCACCCCCCTTCAACCCCCTCCAGCGCCGCCCATTCTACAGGCCCACCGACCGGACTCCAGCCCCCTGCTGTGTTCCCGGCCACCGGGCCTGCAGCAGGCGGGTCCCCCACTCCTTCCACGCCTCCTCCTGCCCAGACTCCTGAGCCCCAGGCCCCCAGCCCTCAGGAGGCTTCCTCTTTCTCCCCAAGTCTAAAGCCCCCATCCAAGCCCCTGCTTTGGGGCCGCCCCCTCCCTCACCTGCTCCCCAGCCTCCCAAGACCCTGCTCAGCACCCAGGGACCTCAGGGCCACCAAACCTGCCCGCCGTTGCCCTCTTCAGCTCTCCCTGTCCCCTTGGGGCTCCCTGGTCTGCAGGTGTCCCACCCGGGACCCCTGTCCAGCGCCCTCTGACCTGCTCCCAACAGCCCGGAGGACCCTCCTTCACCCACTCACCTGCCAACGGTCCCGAGGGCTCCAGTCCGTCAAATACCGGTTCTCCTGCCTGCCTTCCTCTGGGATCGGTCTGGGCTGCCTCCCCGCGGTCAGCCACCATCGGGCCACCACCGTGCTGGGACGTCCTCCCTGGCCCGGTGGGTTGGCTCCTTGGTTAGATGCTGTCCTTGGCCTGAAGGGCTCTCCTCCTCCTTTAGGGGGACATCTGGACCCCCCGGCCTTCCCCACCTGCCACGCTGAAGCCAGTGCTGCTGCCTTGTGAGGTGCCTACAGCTAGCTGGCACCTAGCCCACCTCTCGGCCCGCCGCTGTCTGAGGGCTTGGGGGGAGGGCAACCTGGGATGGGTGCCCTCCAGACACCCATCCTTAGCTAGCCCGCCTGAAATCCTGTCCCCAGAGTGTTCTGGTTTAGGCAGAGGCCAGAAGGCAAAGGTCACAGGCAACGGTTGGGAAATCTGGCTCTGACTGCACAGGGGCTGCCTGTGTGTGGGGTGCAGGGCCTGGGGAAGGGGAGCCATTCTGGTTTGGTGCCCAGTGATTCCTGCCACCCGCCTCCTGGGGGCTGGGCCCAGATCTGGGTAGGTCTTGTCTCCCCAGGGAGGGCCTTGCCTTCCAGACTTGAGCCTCACCTGTGAGTGGGGTTAACATTGCCTCTAAGCCTCTGTGAGGAACCTCCGGGGTCCTACAGGTGCGGTGGACTGACTGGGAAGGGGGCTGTGTGACTTCAGAGAGCCCTTCCTTCTCTGGACCTTATTTCCCAAAGGATGGTTTTGGCCTAGTCAGAGACCCAGCAGTCTGGGCAGGCTCTGCTTGGCGGAACCTGGGTCCCAGCAGGAAGGGATGGGTGTAAGACGTGGAGTGGGGTGGGGGCCATACCTGAAATGTGCAATACAGTGGGGGAGTGGGGGACCGAGAGGAAACCTGTGTGGGTGGGGACCTCCTCACCCCCGCTGGGCTGGGCCACCTCTATTTATGTAACAATTCATAAGACATAAACAGCAGGAGCTGGGAATGGAGGGGCCAGGGTCTTCCTACTCAGCAGTCTAGGGGCCTGAGGACCTAGGAGGCGCCTGCCCCCTGCCAAGTCCCTGGGGGTCCTGATGGGAGTGACCAGCTCCTGTGCTCCAGGGCAGGCCAGGATGGGGGATAGCAGACAGATGGTCCACCCTTGTGTTCTGGGCCTTGAAATGATGGTCGTAAAAGAAATTGAGTGGCCAGACTGTCAGAAGCCCAGCGCGGAGGGGCCCTGGGGCCGGGCCGGGAGGGCACACCAGGCCCAGAGGCTATGGAGCCATAGGAAAGTGGGAGGGAGGCGGCGGCCCTGCTGCCCGTGTTGGGCATCACAGGGCGCTTCTTTCTAGGCCTCTGACAACCATAATGAGAAATGAAGTGAAGGGCCAGGGACCCCCAGACGGATTTGAGAGACCACGAGCCGATGGCAGAGAGGCACTCTGGAGGAGGCAGAAGGGGCACCTTGGCTCTGTGTGGTAGGGCAGGTGAGCCGCTGGACCTTTGGGAGGCAGGCAGGCAGCACCATAGAGCCCTTGTAAGTTAAAAGCATAACATCTGAAAGTTTTGAAATTTAGTAGGATTGAAAGACTGGGTTGAGGAAATGTGGCAGGAAACAACAAAGATCCATTCGAGATAGGAACCAGGAAAGGAGGGCCGAGAGGGTGCAGGAGTGGGTGCAGGGTATGGGATGTCTAGCACTGGAGTGACAGGTTCCATCAGAGGCGGACGCCTGGGAAGCCGCAGTCTGAGGCACGCATGTCCCAGAAGCTCCTCCATGGAAGGGCCTGCCGCACACTCCGCATAGTAAGTCAGCAAGCCAGCTAAGCAAATAAACCCCACCGAGTCACATCTCGGGACGTTTCAAATAAATCAAAATAGAGAGAGATGCAGAAAGCCTCTAGGGAGGAAACACGGGACTCCCAGAAATAGGTGCTCTGGGAGCTCCCAGGCCGTCCCCAGCAAGGTGCCACATTCCCAGGGGACGTGTTGCCTCGGATCCCATCTCCAGGCGCATCGTCCTCCAGGTCTCACTTGCCTGTGGAATTGTCGCGGCTCTGGAGGGGGATTCGCCCCACGCTGTGCGTGAAGAACACACCACTGAATCCGAAGGCTGCAGAAACCAGAATGTGAGGTGTCAATCACTTGTGTGCTGTTTGCATGTAGCAATGATAGTGCATTTGACAGACTGGTTAAAGAAAAGGTATTACTAAAGTTAATTTTGCCCGTTCTTTTTTACCTTTTAAATGTGGCCACCAGGAAATTTAAAGTCGCACATCAGCTCAGCGCTGTGCTTGTGTAATACCTCTTCCCAACGCTGCCCAGGAAGGAGTGGGGAACGGGTGGGGGAGGGAGTGTAGTGGGAGCCCCGGCCTTGCCGAGAGCGGTGCTGCCACAGTCAGGATGTGGACCCAGGCGATCTGTGACCACCCAAGCTCATGATGCCCCTGGACTGAGTGCAGGGGGACAGAGGGGGGTAGGGGCCTATCCCTGGCTGGTGCCAGGAGGTCTAGATGATGCCGGCAGTGTGAATCAAGACTTCCATTCACCCCTTCACCAAACACAGATGAATGCCTGCTGTGCACTGGGTGCTGGGTGCAGAGGGCCGCTGGCGTCCTAGCGGAGAGATGTGGACCGTGGCAGCCCGGGGGATGCGGCAATGCCAGGCTCTGGTGTGTCCCACGAAGAACAATAAAGCAGGGTAACGAGCCAGAGTGAAGAAGGTGGCTATTTCAGGTATTTTATTTTTTTAATATTATGAAACATTTCAAAGAAAAAAGTAGAGAAAATGCCAGATACCCCAAGAAGTCAAACATTAAAGCTGTAGTTGAAGGGCTACACCTGCCCTTTCCCCTAACACTCCCCCTGCCCCCAGTGGGTGTCCCTCCCAGGGTGTTGCCACTTCTGTGGCACAGGTATGGATATATGAAGGGTGCAGAGCACCGGGCAGCGTGTTCCTCAAGGCACAGGGTGTAACCCGGCACAGTCAGCCCCTCTGCCCAGTACTGTTCTTGAGGTCCTGCGTGTTGCCCCCGGGCACACTGGTGCGCTGGTTCCTAATGGCTGCGCGGCATTCCGGCCGGTGGGGAGGGCCGCTCTCCCTGCCCGCGGCCTGCCCCTTCTGCTCTGGGCAGTGACGGTGGGGAGCCTCCCTGGCAGGCCTCCTGTGCACACATGGGGCTTTTGCTGGTCTTGAAGTGTTTCAGAGAGCAAAGGACTTGAAGTCCAAATGCCACATTTTCCCATCATGAATTGTTCTTGCCACTGGGGCAGCTTTTGTGCCTTATCTGAGAAATCTTTGCCTGACCAAGATACTCTCCTGATCTCGTTTTCAAGCTTATTGTTTCAGCTCTTAGTTTAGGTCTGTGACTTACTGTGAGTCGATTTTGCAGGCGGTACAATGTGAATTCTCTTTCTTTCTTTGGCAGATGGACCCAGTTGCTCTAACGCCACTTACTGGAAAGATGACCCTTCACTGAATGACTTTGGCCCTTTGTGGAAAAGCAGTTGGCCATCCATGCTGTGCGCCTGTGTCTGGGGTCCGTCCTGTCCCACCGATGGGTGTGTCCCTGTCTGTGCCAGTGGTAAGTACATGCCCTTGGTGACCCTCACTTTATAGCATGTGACTTTTGGGTAATGTGACTTTTCCAACTTTACTCTTCTTTGTCAGAAATGTTTTGGTATTATAGGTTCATTGCATTTTTATTTCAATATTAAAATCGGTTTGTCAGTTGCTACAAAAAGCCTATTAAGATTTTGATTGAGATTCAGTTGAAATTGTGATCAATCTGTGAGAAAGAACATCCTAACAACACTGAATCTTCCAGTCCACGAACAAGGCATCTCTGTGCATTGATTCTGGTTGTGTTTGGTGATTCTCAGGACACAAATCTTACATATTTTTACTAGATTTCTTCCTAAGTGCTTCATGGTTTTGATGCTATAGTCAATGGTGATTTTTTAAAGTTTCCATGTCCAGCTCTTCACGTCTAGAAATCTGTTCATTACAGAAATATAGCAGATTACTTTATTTCATTTTTTTTGCATGTGGCTTTCTCTCCTTGCTAAGCTCACTTATTACTTCTGTTTGTGTTGGTCGTAGATTCTGGGTCTTTCTGGGAAACTGGCTGTCCAGTCTGTGTGCCAGGACAGGTTCCCTCTCACTCACTCTCTGTAACGTATTTCATGGGCCGGCCCCTGCGGGGTGATGTTCAGGAGGCACAGTGGGAGCGGATATCCCTGCCTTAGTCCCCGTCCCTGGGGGGACACGCTTTCAGGTTTTCGCCATGTCGTATGATGTTATTCGTAGGGTTTTCAGAGATGCTTTTTATCCATCTGAGAATGTTCCCCTCCATTGCTAGTTTGCTAAGAGTTTTTTAAAGTCATGAATCTATGTTGAGCTTTATCAAACGTCTTTTCTTTTTTATGAGACAATACTTTGATTTTTCTTTCTTAGTCTGTTGCTATCGTGAATTACCCTGATTTTTGACTGTCCTACCAGCCTTGCATTCCTGGGATAAATTTCACCTGGTCATGAAGTATGATCCTTCTTACATATTTCTGGGTTTGATTTGCTAACATTTTATTAAGGATTTTTGCATGTTCATTAAGGATCTTAGTGTGATTTTATTTTCTTACAGTAATAAAATCCCCTGGTTTTGGCACCAGGGTGATGCTGGGCTCACAGAATCAGCGGGAAGGCGTTCCCTCCTCTCCTCTTTCCTGGAAGTTAGTGGAGAAGTGATGGTATCACTTCCTTAGATGTTGGTGAATTCGCCGGGGAAGCCACCTGGGCCCGGGGCTGCCTTTCTGTGAAAAGGCTTTAACCGCAAATTCCGTGTCTGTAATGGTAGCGCCATTTTCCTTGATATTACCACATTTACTTAAAACTTTTGTGCCGCTATTTAGTACCACTAGCTGGAACTAAGAGTTTCTCAAATTGCCACATATCTCCACTGACACGGGGTTCTGTTTTGCTTTTAAATGGCATAGTATTTTCTTTAAGGTGCCAGGTCACTGGTGGCAGGCATGTCTGAGGGACTGGATGAAGGTGGGCGAGGGCTCTGTTCTGTCCCGGCCGTGTGCGGGACTTGGCCTCTGACTCGGCCTGCAGGGCAGCCGACATGTCCTTTTACCCAGCTGCAAACTTTCCCGGCCCGTCTGCTGCTGCCAGAGGCAGAGATTTAAAACACCTTGGGGCTGGGGGGCCCTCCTGGCAGGCTCTCGGCTGTGCCAGGGTGCAGCCAGGGCCTCCTGGAGCTGGTTCCTGGTGCCCTGCCCTCGCCTGCGGCCTGGGCCCAGCAGCCATGGGCCGGGGAGCCCGCTCCCCTCTTGCTCCTGGCCTTGCTCTGAATCCAAGATCGGGGCTGCGCTGTCCGAGGACTTGCTCATCCCGGCAGAGGACGTGTGTGCCCACAGAAGGCGTGCGCGTCTGTGTGCACGCACAGAAGCCCTCCCTGAGTCCCTGGGAGACCCTCAGGAGCACTGGGGCAGCAAGGTCTCCAAAGCGCCGTGGCCAGGGGCTGCTGTACAGTGTGGGAAGGCCCTGGGTGGCCCTGCCTGAGCCAGGCCTAGGGGGGCTTTATCTGGCTGCTGCCTGTCCACATAGACCCAGCGTGAGCCTCAGATCCAGCTGCAAACGGGCCTGTGCAAAGGCACATCAGGTGGCACCCAGTGTGGCTGGATCAAATCAGGCCACCGAGAGATGGCAGTGGTGGGAAGGGGCCCTGGGGCCACCAGCTCTGGATGGAGTCAGGCTCAGGTTAGGGACAAGGCAGGAGGGCTGGGGGACAGGTGGGCAGAGGCATGAGCAGGGCAGGCAGCCCCTGACCCAGGAGCTCAGGATGGGTATCGGCTAAGAAGGGGGCCAGTGAGGGCATAGCAGCAGCCAAAAGGGCCAGGCAGGGGTGCTGGGGCTGATAAGAGGCTGGAAAGGACAGGTAGGAGTCCCACAGGGCCCAGGGCCAGGGCGAGGCCCAGGGAATCTGTGGAAGGCCATTAAGCCCGGAATGTGCCTGGAGCCACCGACGCAAGGGCCGCTTGCCTCTTCCTGGCTCCGTGTGCCAGGCTCGGTCCCGCCAGTGGCGCATAGGTCACCCATATTCTGGCGCCAGCCACCCCTCTTCCTTGTCTCCTCCTTTTCGTCAGCCAGCCCAGAGCTCCGCTGCGCCCTCCCATCTGGGCTGGGATTCCCTGTGGAAAAATCAGGTGGATTCTCCAGGAGATGGCTTCAAGCCAGCAGAGGTGGGTATTGGGGCCCTGGAGCCGGGAAGCTGGGGTTGTCCACCGCCCCCCCTCGCAAGTTGCTGGCAACGAGCTGCTCAGCTCGAGTGGCCTGGCCCGGGCCATAGTGGACAGGGCAATCGGCCAAGCTTGTCTCCAGCTTTTGGAAGGTACGGGGCAGTGACAGTAATTCTAAGGATTGGGTATCAGCTGGCCTGAAGCCTTGAAGAAAGCTGAGCCAGCCAGTAGCAATTCCAGGCCTGCAGAGAGACCCAGAACCCGTCACAGGCTCTCCTTGAAGCTTGCGTGTTGACGTCCTTATTCACAGAGGTAAATAAGGTAAGATGAGGTCACTAGAGTGGACCCTGGTGCAGTCTGACTGGTGTCCCTGTGAGAGGAGGTGATCGGGACACAGGCACAGAGAGGGACAGCGCGAGTCCCCAGGGAGCCAAACAGAGAGGCCCCGAGGAGCCGGCCCGCCAGGACCTGGGCCCTTCTCAGAACCAGGCTCCGGACCTGGAAGGCAGCAGGTGTCTGGCGTTCAGCCCTGAGCCTGGGTGGCCCTGCACGGTCACCCTGGCAGCAGGTATCATCTCATTTCCTAAGGTCCAAGAGCAGGTTGTGCCACAAGTCAGGCCAAAGACCAGGCTGCAGGGGGACGACATCCACCCTCCAGGCTGTCCCCCCGCACAGCCGGAGCCCTGATAGCCAAGGTGGACCCCACACCCCCGGGGATGTCCTCAACACCCAGACCAGCCTCCCACTGACGGGGCCATGCCGAGACCCCACCGGGGCCAGGGGTACGCAAGACCCGCCCTCCTCCCCACCAAGGCTTCTGACCAGTAACCAGCGTTGAGTGTTCATGGCCCAAGTGGGGAACTCCTCTGCCTGCTGCAGGTGGCGGTGGATGTTCTCCACAGATCTGCCACTGGGCAGGTGTGTACCAGCCACGCGGCGTGGACATCGAGATGGAGGGCACTGGGGGCATGGGATTGGGCTGGATGGGGCTTGTTTACCAATGTGGAAACAGAGGGTGCTGGAAATTGGCCCTGCTGTGCCCTGGGGCCTTCAGGCGTGGGGAAGCTGGCAGCTGCCTAGCACTTTGGCAGGGTATTGAGGGGGTGAGAGAACTCTGAGGTGGGAGGGCCCAGGGGGCAATGAGGAATGTGCTCTGTGTCCTCCTTGGACCGGAGTTGGTGGTCAGTCCTGCCGGACCTGGGTTCCCTAGTGCGTCTGTGGAATGACAGGGCCCCAGAACGGCAGTGGCCAGATGGGCCTGGGCTCACAGTGCACAGCAAGGCAGGGGGACCTCCTGGGCCCTGACCCACAGGGGTCTCCACATGGCATCCTAGCTATCTGCTGCCGTGTGACAAAACAGTCCCAAACGTGGCAGCTTAAAGCAGCAAACACTGATCACCTCGTAGCTTCTGTGCATCAGGAATCTGGGTCCAAGTGCTGGCCAAGACTGACAGGGACCCCCTTCCACGCTCACCCACATGGCTGTCACGGGCCGCAGGTCCTTGCTGGCTGTCGTCTGGAGACAGTGGGTCCCTCCTCTGGACGTCTCCACGGGGCAGCAAGCAAGACCACAGCCACAGTCTTTATGACCTCATCTGGAAGGGACGTCCCCTCACTTTTCCCACATTCTGTTGGTTAGAGGCAGGTCAATACATCCAGTCTGTGCCCAAAGGAAGGGGCTTCATGAAGGCACAAATGCCAGGGCATCCTGGGGCTGCCTGAAGGTTGAGAGTGAGTGACCCCTCTTCCGTATCTCAGACTGGCGCCAGGTCTCTAGGAGCCGCATGTGGACAGAGACCACTCAGATGCTGCCAGAGCTGCAGTGAGGTTCTGAGCCGGCCCGATACCAGACGCCCAAGGGCCAGGAGGCTTCCCTGTTGGGTGGGGACCACAGAGGCAGAGGTGAGGTCACCCCTAAAGACTGAAGACACAGGCCGCTCAGCAAGTTGAGCCTAGAATCCCTGTGTGATCAGGACTGCGCTTCTGGCAAGGCCCCGAGGGCAGTGCAGGCAGGGACCGCCCCACACGTGGGCACACCCAGCAGACATTAGCTGTCACGGTGGCCACAAGGTGAAAGCAAGGAACACATCCACCGGCGGCTGAGTGGGTGAAGTGCGGCCCACGCCACAGCGACAAACTACTCGGTCTTGGGGAGCCCGGCGTGCGCCCCAGCGGGGATGGGGGGATCGGCCTGTCGCCAAAGGACACGCCCTGTAGGGTTCCCCGTAAATGAGGCCCCGGGAGGAGCCAATGCTTGCAGACAGAGTGGGCTGGGGGGTGCAGGGGCTGGGGAGCAGGCTGGGAGTCAGCGATTAATGGGAACATAGCTTCAGTTTGGGAGGATGAAAAATCTCGAGACGAAAGATGATGTGAATACTTAACACGACCGATCTGCACGTTCAAACACTGGCACATTTCATGTGAAGTAGCACATATGTATTGTAGCAGGATAAGGAGAGCTTGAGATGCAGCGATGGGGTGCCCATCACGCCCTCCTGACTGCCTCAAGTGCCATCTGTGACTCGTGTCGGGAGGAGCCTGAGGGCAGCTGGGCAGGGCGCCGCCCCCCGGAGCTCAGCCTCCCAGCCGGCAGCCATTCGCAGTGCGGCCCTGGGGCGGGTGCTCCTCCGCCGGCCGCAGAAGGGAAGCGCGGTGCCGTCGCCTGAGCAGCGGTGCCCTGTACTCCAGGCCCACGGCAACGGCTCCCTTGCAGCCCCAACCTCAGCCCTCCTGCGCCTCTGCACCGCACCATCACCCCCCAAATCATGCCCCAAAGCAGCCAGAGCCACCTTCACACTCTGTCCTCCACCTTGCTGGGGTCTCTCCACGAAGTAAAACTCCCGTTGTCCCCGCCCGGTAGGAGTTGGGAAGGACAGACACTCCTGGCGGGACAGACTGGCCACGTGGTCTGGCCCCACCTCTGCGCTCAGAGCTCCCCAGCGGTTCTGCCCTCGGTCGGGTCCCTGAGCTCATTGCCTGGTGAGCCCTCCCAGGCCCCTCCTCTGCCACTGCGTTCTGGGTCCCATGGCCCAAGGGCATGCTGGGCACGCCACTGGACGCTGAGTTCTGGACCCCCGTGGGCGTGGCTGCCCGCTCTGAAGCCCTCCGGTGTCTCCCCGGGGGGTGGCTCAGAAGGACTGGCCTCCGGAATTCTGTTAGTTTCCAGGCGCCTCGCGTTCCCAGCCAAACCTGGGGAGCGTGTTAGCCGGCTTTGTGTCTCAGCCTGGAGGGCCAGCCTGGCATGGAGGGGGCCTCTCAGCACCCACCCCCTGCCAGCACCCACATCTGCGGGTCCATGCCCTGCTCAGCCACCTCCTGCCAGCCTCGGCCTCCCCGCCCTCCGGGCCAGCAGCAGCCTGTGGCTGCCACCCAGTGGCCACTCGGGAGTGGCAGGCTTCCTGAAGGCTGCCGGCCTGCCGGGTGGACCCACCTGCTCCCAGCTGCTCCTCCCATCCACGTTTTCCCTCCCCTGCTCCTCAGTCACTTAGCAAGTGGCCGTGAGCTTGCGGGGGCCAGACCCGGGTGGGTGGGCCTCAGGGCTCCAGGGACACAGCTGGGAAAGCCTCGGCCCAGCTCCCCAGAGCCAACTTCCTAGCGGGGCTCGGACAAGATGCATCCAGTCTGGAGCCCGCTGGGCAGGCGGCGGGTGGGGTGGGGAAAGGGAGGTCATCACTGTCTCAGGCTCAAGATTCGGCCGCTCTACCGGGGGCCCACTTGGGGCTCCCAGACCTTACTGCGGGGGCGGGGGTCCCCAGAAGGAAGGCAAGTGGCTCTGGCCACCAGTGCACTGCAGCTGGCCTCGGGGGGCACACACCCCACCCAGACCCTGGTTCATCGCCCAGCTGCCAGGAGTGTCCTTTTCTTTCTAGAACAGCTTTATGGAGACTCACTCCGTACAGCACACAGCTCGGCCACTCCAAGTGCAGAGCCGAGGGTTTTACTACAGTCGCTGTCGCGCCACCGTCCCCACAGCCAGCGCTGACAGTATCTGTCTCTACGGATGTGACTTCACAGGCATGGTGTCACACCGCATTTGTCCTCCACTCACTGACCGCCTGTCCTCAAGGTCCATGCATGGTGTCAGGTGCCAGGATCCCCTTCCTTTTGAGGCTGAGAGGTGGTTCATACAAACGCCACAGTTGGCTCATCCGTTCTTCCAGAGTGGACGTCGGGGTTGCTTCCACCTGTTGCTGATTGTGAGGAGGCTCCTGGCGGGGACGTGGCTCATTCCCCTTGGGTGTAAGCCTGGGAGGGGAATTGCTGAGTCAGGTGGTAACCCTGCATTTGTTAGAGGAGCTGCCGGCCAGGGGAACCCTTTTAACACCCAAACCAGACCCAGTCAAGGCCCTCAACAGCCCCTAACCACCTGCCGGCCGCCCCCTGCCCTCACCAGCTCCCATCCCAGGGCCCAGACCTGCGGCCGCAGGGCCTTGGCACACGAGCCTCCACCTGAAGCTCTCCTGTCTTCCTGCTCTCTCCACACTCCTTTCTGGAATTGCCGCTGCGGGGTTTGTGCGGTCAGCTAGAGCCCAGGCCCGGAGGCTGCAGGGGGCGAGTGCCTGGTGTTTTGAAGCATATCGGACATCCCAGATCACTCGGGGAGAACACGTTCTCTGAGCAGGAGAGGATCCAGAGCGCTTGTAATTTCTAGTGGGTGTGGTGGGCCTGCCTGTAGAACATTCTCCAGACTCTCCTCATTGTCCACAGCATCTTGGTTTTCTTTGGGGACCCTCTCCCCACTCGGAATCGAGGGGCGTCTGGAAACCCGACTTGGCCAGCAGCTGTCCTGTCCTGGCAGACTCATCAGGGTGACAAATGACTCAGGTCGGGACAGTGAGGTCATTGGGTCCTTGCTGTCCTGTCTCCTTGAGGAATCTGAGCTGGTCGAATGGGGCCACAGTCTGAGGAGAGGCTGCCTGAGGATGAAGCCATGGAGAGGAGAGCTGGGCCGAGACAGGACAAGAGGAATGGGTGGAGCACCCGGACCGAGCCATGCTTGAGGCTTTACACCCGGGTGTTTCAGTTCTGTGGGCCAATACATTTTCTCTTGAAAAGTCAGTTTGAACCGGG